TACCCGGGTCTTTTATCAAATAAATCTAAGGTGTACTGTATTGTCAACAAGGGTGTATTTTCAATGATATGTTAAAGATTGTAAAAATTTCTTAAATTCATTATCATAATCATCAAATATAAAACCACAAAATAAAAATGAGGGAGCACACAGCAAAAGGTGACTTCGGGATGACCAATCAAAATTCGAGATTTATAGAATAGCTAACTAGCAAATAAATATTTTTATAAAAACAATTTTTAATAATTAAATCTATTAATAAAAAGTATATAATTTTTCTTAATTATTTTGATACTATTATATAGATGATAATTATATACCATGATTTTTTCTAAATTACATGATTGTCCTGAATCCACCATTTGCTGTGGATTTCCCCAAATAATCCTTTTCTAAATATCAAAATAAATTTGTTTTTGTAGCTTGATTTTTCTATAGAATAACTCTACTGTACCATTTTTCACAACCACATATACTGCAAGTAATGTAAAATTTCTATTAAAAAACATTGCAATCTGAATAAGTTGTTGGATGTATTGTTTTCAACTTATAATTTTATCAAGAAACTGTGCTGCTTGTGAATGAAGTTACAAGGCGGCAGGTTATCATGAGTCATGTGACCCTTGCAGTTACACAAAATTTAGTTTATGCATTGTAGATCAATTAAAGGTCTAACGATTGTTTTCTAAAGCCTTGTTTTGTTTTTCAGCTCGACAGAAGTGTTCAGCTTAGTTGTACGCACAAGTTAGAAGGATACATACATACAAAAACTCAAGAAAACATGTGAACTTTTGCTTTTCAGCCTTTTACGTGTGAATTATTAATATGCTACACGAAAACTTACTTTCAATGGAAAAAGACACCACTAGCCTGAATGATGTAGACAGAGAAAATGTTTGTATCCAAGAGGAGTCTTCCTCTAAGGTAGACTGGAACAGATTAAGGTTAGCAGACTTAAGAGCAATGTGTAGAAGATGCAACCTGCCTTCAGATGGTACGAAAGTAGATTTAATTGCCAAACTAGAAAATTACTAGAAAGACAGTGATGAGGAGTACAATAATGGACAGAAAGAAAAAAGCAAGTTAGTTGAAACTGATAACGAAAATAATAGAGGTAATCAGTGGAATGATAATGATGGATGAGATGATGAATTTTTGTTATTTATAGAAAATAAGTTGGAGGAAAAGATCGAATCCAAACTTGAAAGTTCACTAGCATCAATGCTAAATAGAAATCTGCAGCATTGGGCATCTCAATGTAAAAATTTTCAAGATATAACCTCAGACTCTAAATTCCCGGAGAAGAAATTTAAATGTATATGTGATCAGCATGAGTATGACTTTATATGCCAAATAGGCAAAACACTTAGTAAAGCAATGCAGGAAGAATCGATTGAAAAAATACAAGAAGCTTACAATGCATTGAAAATAAGAGCATTTATCTTGAGAACTACAAAGGATGAGGGATGGAGAGTAGCATTGAATATTCCAAAACCAGTACCTACAGAAAAAATGAGCTTTATGATATGTTAATAGAAGCAAGAAAACAAGTGAAACCAAAGGAATACAAGCCTTTCCAAAGCTTTGGAAGTAGTTATAGCAAAGAGGATATATGGTGAAAGGGACAGGTGCAACATTTTGCCCCATACTTCTTGATACAAGAAACCTGGTTCAATAGATTCGAACAATATCAGTAACATGATGGACTAAACTAGTCAACTTCTCAAATCCAGCTCCATCCTTTATTATAGCAAACAAGACAGTGAACCAACTAGTATGCTACTATTGTAATGGTATGGGGCATATTGCTTCAGCCTGTGCATCTAAGACAGCAGAAAGTAGCAATGGAAGAAATAGGTTTTTTCATTGAGGATCTGGAAATACCAAAAATAAATCCTAACTACATTTGGGTAAGGATAGTACAGAACTTGGGCAAAATAAATTTTTAAAAAACAATCAGCATCAGAGAAAGGATACATTTATAAACAACCTAAATCAAATAGAGAGGATTCACTTAGACCTAACAGAATTGAAGAGATTAGATTACTGCAGTGTAGTAATGGAAAGGATCCACATACAGAAAGCAATAAACTATTGGTTAAGAGAAATAAAACTACCACAGATCATTGTTGACTGGTTAAAAAATTATATATTCTTATTCCCAAAAGGAGAATTAAAATTAGCAAACCAATCAGACCCAAAACCTTATTCATTAACTACAGAGCAGTCTCTGTAGCTTCAAGAAGAACACAGTCGAATGGTAAGTCTGAAGGCAATAAAAAAGTTAGAGGCAGGTCCTCATCACCCATCCTTTCTTCTAGAGGGCTTACCAATCTTTCTAGTACCAAAGGCTGGTCCCAAAAAATATTGGCTAGTAATAGACCTGAGAAGGTTAAATCGAACCTTACTAGAGAAGTTTTGTTACTTTGAAGGTTTGACAGACTTCTAAGATTAATTGGAAGAAATTGGTCAGTGATTACTTTAAACTTAAAGGATAGATACTATCATATACTAATGAACAAGGAGGCACAATGATTCTTGGGTTTTCGTGCAGCAGATTCATGATACCACTATAGGGTGTTACCTTTCAGTCTTTCCCAATTAGTTTGAATTTTTTCAAAGATATTAAGACCATTAATAGCCCACTGGAGAGAGATGAGAATTGCTTCAGAATCTCATGTGGATGATATATGGATCACACACCCCTCAGCAGAGACTCTGATAAAAATAAGAGACAAAATTATCTTACCAGACCTAATAAAATGTGGTTTCGTTCTAGTATAGGACAAAAGTCAGTTAGTACTGTCAAAGAAAATCAAATTTTATGGCTTAATTATAGACATAGTAAATGCACAAGTAATAATATCAGAAGAAAAAATAGTGAATGTGAAGGTCGATTTAACAAAGATAATAAATATGAAATCAGTAACAGCCAGACAACTGGCAAAGGTAACAAAAAAATTCAGAGTTTGTCCTAGGCCTTCGCCTCAACACAAGTAAGATGTATGAATTTTACTTCCTCCTAGATGTAGCAAACAGGTGTTTTTGGGAGTGGAACAAAAAAGTGACAATCTCAAACCAGGCAAGAGAGAACATATTATGGCTGCTAAAGAATCTAGAAGATTACAATAGACATCCTGCCTGGAGATCATCTCTGGTAAGAAGCCTATATGTAGATGTATTAATGGTAGGCTGGTGTGCCAAACTTGCAGAAAAAACAGCCTTTGGAAACTGGCCATGGCAAATAAGTCATCGAGAAATTGCACAATTAGAGGCACAAGCAGTCTTGCTGGGTCTTCAAAGCTTCAAGAAACTTTTGCACGGTTTATGGGTGATGTTTTTTATAGACAGCTGTATAGCATTAGCCATAATAAGAGGAGGTGGCCAACGGACATGGCAGAAAGAATTCTTCAGAAATTTGTGGGATATATGTTTGGCAGAAGATATATAGATCTATGATATAAAATGGGTGCCATCAGGGGCCAACCCTGCAGACCTTTGGACAAGGGTATTTAACAGCTCAGATTGGAAACTAAATCAGAAAACTTTCAATTTACAAGAAAATATTTGAGCCCCACACCATAGATCGAATAGCTTCATATTAAAATACCAAACTCCAAAGGTACAACAGTTATCACTTCTACCCAAACACAGAAGCAATCAACTGCTTTACCCAGGATTGAAGACAGAAGGATAATTATGTCTGCTCCTCACTTCAAATGATTCAAAAAGTGCTACATTATATCAAGAGTTGCAATGCCGAAGCAACAATAATAGTCCTACATTGGGTGTCAGCAGAATGGTGGCTACTGTTACTAGATCTAAACTAGACTGCAATTTACTTACCTCTACTAAAAACAATCTTCGTACCAGGCCCTTCAGGTGTAGTAGAACCATGGAGAAACCTGGGCTGGAAATTCTTGGCAGTGCATATCTGTTCGTAGATAAGCTATTAAATTAAGCCAAAGAGTTAGTATCTAATGCCATATCACCTTATTATAAAAATAGAGTGGATATGTATTAGAAGTACTATAAAAACTTCTGTAACAAATTCTCTCTTAATATAAATGCACCATCAGAGGACCACATCATGGCTTTTATTACATGGCTGGATCTATTGGGTCTTGCATCACAAGCCCCACAGATAGTACTAGCAGTAATTAGTAATCCTCATCTAAAAAAGAAACCAGATTTTAGAAATTCTCTGGGAATTGCTCGGGTACTAAGAGCACTAAAAAAGGTTGCTATGCAGAACAAAGTTCCAAAATGGCCACATGACTCGCTACCAGTATTGGCATTAAGAATGTATATTGATTTACCACCAGAGTGAGTCGATAAGGTTATGTATAAGAGGAACTTAGCCCTGGTTACTCTAGAATTAAGAGCACTGAGAAGACAGGAGAATTATGTGATTTAAGGCTAGAGGATATTAAGTGGAATAATGACGGTATATTGTGGATTAGGATTTGTAAATCAAAAACAGACCAATTTCGAAATGGGAAATTTATCCCAATAGAGGGCATCAAATCAAGATACTGTCCATTAAAGCTCCTAAAAGCATACTTGAAGGAAAGACCCTATACTAAGATTGATGCACCTTTGTTTCTCTTTAAGCAAAAAAGAAAAATAACAGTTTCAGCAATGGGATCAATAGTCAAATGATTTGCTGAGCATGCTGATCTGATTGGTCAGTTTACTGCACACTCACTACGAATTGGAGGTGCCACTGCAGCTATGAATGCAGGTCTCAGCTTAACAAGATCCAAGCTATTGAAGGCTGAGATTTGAAGGCTGTTATACTTTATTTGAAAACAGTGTCTACAACCAAAGCAGGTACCTCAAGGCTAATGGGTTTTTAAGACAAAAAAAAAAAAAAAAAAAAAAAAAAAAAAAAAGAGGGAAACGAAGCCAAAGGAGATATGATAATGTGATAGCAATATAATTTTACATACGATTCTTGGTGACGATACTACTATATTACATTATAATCACTAAGGCATTATCATAAATGTAAATGTAAATAAATCCTATGATGAATGATAATAATGTGCCGCTTGTGAATGAAGTCACAAGGCAGCAGGCAGGGACCCTAAAAAATTTCGAAAAGATTAGAAAACAATAACTCGCAATTTTTAGTGAATTTTGCTCTATAAAACAATATTACGACTTTTTTATGCATTGTAAGTTACACGAAAATTTGATTGGCCAGCTATTTTAATATGCCAATCACATTTGCGTATTTAGTGTAACTATACCTACTGATAGCTCTTTTTTTTAGACGAATAAACATCGAAACATTCTGAATTTTAATCGACAAAAATAACAACAAAATTAGGCAATTTAACACGATAAAAAGCATTTTATTGATATCACAATAAAAAACAATATTTGCCGGTAACCAAAACAATATTTGCGTAATTGATATCGCAATTTTTTAGGGTCCCTGGCAGCAGGTTATTGTGAGTCATGTGACTCTTGCAGTTACACAGAATTCAGTTCATGCATTATAGATCAATTAAAGGTCTAATAATTGTTTTCTAAAGCCTTGTTTTGTTTTTCAGCTCAACAAAAGTGTTCAGTTCCCTCCCACCCCTGAGACTAAAATGTGAAGTTATTTGTATGGTATTACAAGATGCTATACCAGAAGTGGTGCCATCTTACCTCAGATACTCGCCCAATATTGTTTAAATGATTTAACTCAAATGGAGAGCTATTATAAAAAAAAAAAAAAAAATCATGAAGAATCTCTCTTTACAAGTTAGCAGACCAGAGAGTTGTTTGTCCGTTAGGTACTGACCTAGTATGGTGAATCTGTATTAAACCCAAATGGAGAGCTGTTTGTAGAAAAGGATAGTAATAGTCTATCTCTTTACAAGTCAGCAGACCAGAAGGCACCATGCATAGTGAGGCAGATTATCGTAAAAGTAAAAGGGGACAAAAGGGAGGGAAAAGAAGAGAGAAATTTTCTATAAGATAACATGACTATACTCAGCAACAGCTCATAAACTTGTGCAGGTGATCCCCAATCCTATACTATATTACATCGTAATCGCTAAGGCATTAACATGAAGGTAAATGTAAATAAATCGATAATAAATTATTTTTTCTTTGTTGATCATAAAATGCCATATATGAATGAGTTTTTTGCATATTAGATTAAGTTATTGATTTCAACATTATTAAATTTTTGTTTGATTACTTACCCAACAAGTTTGAAGTATTTAGTTTGTACTACTATTGTTAGGCGAAACCATTTTAGCAAATAGCAAAACCCTGGCAGATCGGCGAATCCCTAGCGAAACTACTAGAAAAGGTGAAACCCCTGGAAAAAGACAAAACTTGGTGAAGATCAAATTCTCTAAGACCTTAAAAAGACTGAGTCATGTTAGTAAATCAAAATATTTTGCGCATAGCTATTAAGCACAGCATGTGGTTTATATAAAAAAATTATACAAAAACAATAAAAAATTGATAGCTTTTTGATTGTATTCGAATCATATTAAAAAGAAAATTGGACTTCCAGTCTTGGAACTTCTAATTAAATCAACTAAGATTCAAAGCCTGAAATCTTGTTTATTTTAATAGTGTTTATCTATGTATTAATACTATTCATATAAAATAAACCTATCTAAATATTTATATAAATTTTGTTATATTATTAATATTTTTTCTTTTTAATACTAAAACTTTATGTAATTAGTTCATTAACATTAAAATTACTAATAATTATTTCTGATGCTCTATTTTATTAGCACAAATCTCAGGACTAACTTTAAGGTAATAATTTTTATATCATGACCTTAATAGATCAAATGTAGTAAAATTTAGATCGTTGATTACAGCTGTTTTCAAAAAGGTTTGAACAATGATTCTCATATATGTCAACCCACCTAGTATCACCACTAGTATTGTAGTTTAAAACTGTTAAAAACAAAAATGATAAAACTAGTATATACTATAGTTAAAAATGTTGATTAAAATTAAACTACTGCTATTAAACTAATACGTAATTAGAAGGTCAGGTGAAGCAGTAAAACAAAGTTTTATTTGATTAACATTTAAACTTTATTAAAAAATTCTCTCTCTTTAATGAAATAGAACACAAATACATAAAGTTAGTTTTGAAAGCAACTAATGCAATAACCTTCAGCCTAAATTCAAGCTCAGTTTTATATTTTCTGCCTAAGCATTACAATAGCTTCATTTAAATATATTAAGCATCTTAAACAGATATAAACTGACAATTTTATAGCAAAAACAATACAAAACTCCATTGCAAAATTTGCACTAAATTTTTGCAAAAACTTTTTCTTTTTTTGAGGGAACCTGCTCTTCTAGGATGTCCAAACCTGCTGATCCCCATTACAAATCAATATTATTAATTAATTTACACAATTTTAACCTCTGTTACATTCATTTTATACAAAATTTTTAATTTACTATTTTTGGTTTTATTTAATTTATACAATTTTTGCACTTTGTTGATCCTATCGATCCTATCAATCCTTTAACTGTTATACTGAGTAATACCTTATCCATCACACCTCTTATCTATCACACCTCTTATTTGTCATACCTTTATTTGTCACATCTCTTATTTGTCACACTATTTTTTTGTTATTTCTTCAAATCAATTGAATTTTAAAATACCTACTCTTAGAGCCGAAGAACCTGACTTCTATAATTTAAACTACTATTACTCTAACTATAAAGACTGTTTTGGATTAGGAATTACTGAAACCAGAGCTGAACAATTAAAAGTCCTCCAACCTGCTTTTAAACTTGAAGAATACAACATTTCTAAACAACAATATTTCTTTTCAGTTTCTTTGCAACCCTTGATTGGTACCTGCTACTGTGGCAAATACCATACCAGCTTTACTTCTAAAAACTACCAAATTAAACACCCAAACACACTTGGACAATCTACCACTACTCTTGGTCAATCTCCAACTTCTGCTATTACTAAAGTATCTAAACAACAATTTAAAAAATTAATTGCTTTTCCTAAGTCTCCAATCACCAAAATTCCTGAACTAAAAACTAATCAAACAACTCAAGCCAATCCATGTATCTTATTCCAAACTATCAAACTAACACTACTCCTATGCCTATTATCCCACACTTACAGCACTACCATACTTGTATTCTTTGCAAAACTAAAAATATTCACTGTGTGTCAACTAAACAACATAATTATGCTCCTGATTATACATTTGCCTATATCTTTAAAGGCCGCTTAATTTACAGAAGCTGTACTCCACTCATTGCCAATATCCAAATCACATCTAAAACACAGACAGCTCCTTTTAATTCTGAACAAAAGGCAACAATCTTGATCATTAAGTTACTATTAATGACAGCTAAAAAAAAAATTCAACTCTTTAGCACTCTCTTCCCAAAAAATTTACTTTTAAGCAAACTACTAGCAAGCAACAACAACAAACTCCTCTAAGAGACACATCTAATGACTTAGACTGATTTGAAAAATTCCTAATAACTAAAGAGATGGAACCTTATATCAAGTTTGACAACACTTTAGTTTACAAATTATTTGACTTTATTAAACCACATCTTATTAATATCTATCTAGAAAAAATCACTCAAAAAGTAGACCCAAGCAAAAATATATAGGAAAGAAAATTTAACTACAACTATCCTATTAAATTCCTAGCAGGTCAAAGATCCAAATTTCTTACAGATCTTATTTATGAGGCTAATACTCATATCGACAAAAACATCACTACTCTCTTTGAACTTATCTACTCTACTTTTGTTGAATTACTCAAAGCATTTATCATCTCTCTCTTTACTAAAATGAACTATTCCAAATTTCTTGCTTCATACAGCTCTATCCCTCCATATACCATCACTAACCGCAACCAAGTTGCAATTAATCTAGCATATTTACATCTAATCCTTCACAATAAATATCAAACAATTCATGCAAAAAAATTTTACCAAGACCTTAATATACGATCTATCCACTTTAGACTTTACTATTATATTAGTGAAGATGCTGCCAACCAATCTCTATTTAAAATCCAAAACAATGCCAAATTTAATATCAATATTCTTCTCAATATTCCTAAGAAACAATTCTTAGAAACTTTTCAAATCCCCTCTCTCAAAACACATCTTCCAGATCTTTAAAATTGGTATGATAAATTCTTTACTTATCAATGGCAATTCATTAATATCGACAAACAAAAAGTATTTATTTAGGACGAAGTTATTTGTCACATATGTAACAATGGCTTATATATCACTAATTTTTTATTTGTCAGAAAATATATCACATGTATAAAATAAATAATTACACATCACTATTAAATATCACACCCTAAATAACTCAATTTAACTAAATACAAAAAACTAACATCTTAAAATTTAATACACACAAGTAACAATGCTAATTCTAAGCTCCAAAAAAGAATATCTAGAAAAGTTAAGTTTAATGCAACCTTGCACAACCTAAATTAAAAAAATTATTTATACCTGAAATTCTGATACAAAAAAAAAAAGTATACGAATACTTACTCTAATTCCAACCTTTAAAAACGAATATTTAAGAAATCAAATTTCATACAGTTTTGCGAAATCTACACTCAATAAATGCGTAAAATATGTATAAAAAAAAGTTAAATCTACAGTTTTCTTAACCTGGATCCATAATTTTACCATCACTTTAACCTATTTTATTGACAATTAAATCAGACAAGATTACTTTACAGACAATTAATTCGTAGATATGTTTGTTTCATAAATAGGTTATTTCACTGAAAGATCTGTAAAAGTAAACTTGTTAGTGAAATAAGGTGTCTATGAAGTGATTGTCTGCGAAGTAAACAGCACCACTTAATGCTTAAAGCCTAATCCTAACATAAAATAAGAAATACCCTAATTCTACCCTGAAAATAGGAGCACTTGGAAAAGGTAAATTTGATACAGTCTTGCATAATCTAACCACGTTTAATAAAAATTCGTTTTGTTAAAATAAAATTATTTTAGTCTTCATACTAACAATGAAAGAATAAGCTACGCTAGTACTCACCATAATCTTTTAAAAATGTTTGGAGTTTAAATTTTATACGCCAATGCACGATTTAAATAAAAAAAAAAAAAAAGAATCAAATTATTTTGCATATAGCCTTAACACGAAATAAACTATGCAATTGCTTAAAATAACCTCAAAATACTTGCCTAAATGCATCATACATACAACTTGCACAATCTAAATTCAAAAAAAAAATTTAACACCTATACAAATGTTTGCAGGCCGAAGGCCTGCAAACTTCTATAAAAAAATTAACACCTATACAAATGTTCACAGACCTTCGGCCTGCAAACTTCTATAAAAAAATTAATACCTATACAAACGGTCGCAGGCCTTTGGCCTACAAACTTCTATAAAAAAATTACCACTTATACAAACGTTCGCAGGCCTTCGGCCTGCAAACTTCTATTTTACTAAAAAAACCTTGCTAGAAGACGAGCCATGCATCGTATGAGCTTAACCTTATCTATAATGTGTCGCTTCTGACTTAACCTACCTAATTCTAATCTTAAAATGAAATGACTGAAGTTCTGTCTTAGTAACTTTAGTGCTAAATAAATTAAAATTTTACGTTAAAGTAAATATCTTGAGTGATGTTAAATTACTATGTAATTTAGGGCGTTCTCAAGTACCTTTCTCAATAAAATCAATAAAGAATCTGATTAGTATATAAAATAAAACTGACCAATCAGATTCTTTATCGAGTTTATTGAGAAAGGTGCTTCTCATACTTTATAAATCATCATTAATTCTAAGCTTCAATTTGAGTATTAATTTGCTATATCAATTTGAGATTATTACATATTATACAGTACAAGAATAAATAATATGCTATATCAACTATTTGTTAGGGCAATTTCACTTATCATGTTCTTTGCTTTTACAAACACTGCATTGACGAGAAGCACGAGACGAAGTACGTGTATGTTTTTTTGGTTTTTTAATTGCTGATTTTATACACCTTTTGGAGGGACGCCCTTTTCCAATATATTTAAGTGGGTTCTGAAAATCTAGTCGTGTAGTTTCGATATCTTGATCATTCTCTGTATCTTGATCACTCTCTATATCCTGATTACTCTCTGTATCTTGATCACTCTCTACAATTTGGTTATCATCTAGTTCCTGTTCTATAATTTGTTTGCTGCATTGTGCTTCCTCATGGATGCGTATCCATTCCTTAAATGTTTCCATCAAAATCTTTGAATCATTTAAATCATCATAATTAACTACTTCTACATATTTACGGGCAAGCCCAAGCAATGTTCCTTTAATCGATTGTTTATGGCCAATTGCTTTTGCTGCAGCTTGTACAGGAGCTTCAATAAGCATGATATTCCACGAATCAGCAACATCCGGAAAAGAAGGTAAAGATGGTGTTAAACTGTTCATTTCTAATGAATTTCTTCTAAGAAATGGCTCATCAACAACTACCACGTCCATAAATTCGTCTTTGTACCAACGTCTTAGAATGAGAGAAATGTGAAAATAAGCCTTTTCAGACTGTAAAAGAACACAAAACCAATGATGGCAAATCGCTCCACTATTGAATAATAAAATGCATGTGCATAAATAAAATCTATTTTTTAGCAGCACTACATTCTGTCCAATATTTGATTTATGCTCGATTGATTGAACTTCCCAACCCTCAGCAACTAAGGAATGATTGCTCCCCTCACGAAGTTTATCAAAACGTATCTGACGAAAGTTATACTCAAATTCAATCGGCCCATTATCAACAACCTCCAATGTTAAATTATATGGATCCTCAAAATTAACCTTTTTGCTATGATACATCACCGCCTCATTCATTTGATCAATATGTAACTGTAAAATTTTGGCCGTTACATACTTTTGCAATATATTGTATATTTCAGGAAAAAGTTGTCTAGGGACACTTAGTGTTATATATGATGTTGTCTTTTCACGCCAAGCCACAAACCGACTAGCAAATTGTTCTTCTGCAACATGTGATTCAATTTGGTTAAACAGGATGTGAAGTTGAGTTCTTTTATTTACAGTCTGTTTAATTACACCGTTTATTGATTCAGATCATTGTGTAGATATTATCCCTGCCGTAAAAACTTGACCTGTAAATGCTTTTGCCCAGGTTGTTTTACGTGAATCAAGCTGTCTAAGTAGGTATTCAGTTGATTCTGGAAAATCGATCATAAGTTGTTTCCAGTATTTCTCAAATATTTCTTTACATAAAATGTTTCGGCAACGATAAAATGCTTTGATAAAATTTGAATAACGATCACCAAGTAGCTTTGCAAGCTGCTTTTCAATGTTACGCCCAATGTGCCAGATACAATGGAGTAGGTAGGATCAGGATATATTTCGGGAACAACACTTTCAAGACCTGGATCTGCATCAATCATAAAAGCGCTGGGCTGAACTCTTGTAGCCTCAATTGTTTGCTGTAAAACCCATCTATAACTTTCACTTGTTTCATTAGGCAATATAGCCTGTGCAACAATTCATGATTTGAAATTATTATCTACAACAGCAAAAATGCACAATGAGAGTTTATAGACATTGGTTGCTGCTGTATTGTTGTTTAAAATAATGTCTGCATAACGTCGCCAAAGTTCGCGTTGTTCAGGGGTCATATAGAATACACCTTGTAATCTGTTTGTTTCTGGATCAATTAACGATTGAACATTCCAATCAGGATTCTTGGTACGCTCTTTTTCAAAGTGCTGGAAAAGCTTTGCAGTATCACACCCCTGTATATCATGAGTACGACGAAACTTATATACATAGTTTTTCACATCATAATCCACAATTGTGGCTTCAGGAAATAACACACAGAGTAACTGAACCTGAGATGGAACATCAATGTCACAAAGGACATAGTTTTCAATAAGCTCCTTCATTTCTGTGGTAAGTTTCCGATAGCTAGTAGCAAAGTTAGCGTTTTCAGAAACCAACATATGGTTGTGTTCAAGCTTCATTGATGTCAACTTAATTATAGTTTCATTATCAGGGCCCTTACTCTTGCATGCATTCACTAGAAAAGGACAACCAATTCTTTTTGAACCCTTATTTCTTTGCTTTTTAGGTGGAGCAGTTTTACGTGAGATATATTTACCAGACCGTTCACAATTCCAAGTATACTGGTGTGGATCAAGGCTATTATCTACCCGCTTTTTTTTTATCGCAAAGTTATTTTGATGTGTGTAATGTTCTAATATCTCTTGACATTCTTCCCAAGTTCCAAAGGCTTTTTCACAGTAAATTTCAATGCAGATTGGAGGTAGGTGTCCACATTGATAATTAGCAGTATTTTCTGAGGCATTATCAGATTCACTAACAACGTCAATGTCCTCTTCAAATTCAATACCAGGTCCATCTTCAGTATCCTTTTTACGCTCAGTACCAGGTTCAGATTCACTAACAATGTCAATGTCTTCTTCAAATTCAATACCAGGTCCATCTTCAGTATCTTTTTCACATTCAGTATCAGGTTCATCTTCAGTATCCTTTTCAAGTTCAATGCCAAGTTCACCTTCTATCTTCTTTTCAAATCCTAAATCACTATTGTTTTCAATTTTACCATATTTATTCTCAATTCTATCATATGAACTTTCATGTATTAATGGCAAAATGTTTTCTATACTAGCCAAGGGTCTTCGTGCTATTGA